GATCCTCCTCTTCTCCTCCCCGTCGGCTGAATGCGCACGCGCGGCAAGAGCTGCGCGCGCATTCAGCGGGTCACATTGTCAATGCTTTCCTATGGATGCTTGCGTGCTCTTACTGTGAAAATCACAGTGAGAAGCACGCAAGCGCCTCTAGTGGCTGTCAATGAGACCGCCACTAAAGGAAATAGGGGAAGGCTTAACCCATTGATAAACATAGCAGTTTCTCTGAAACTGCTATGTTTATGAAAAAATGGGTTAACCCTAGCTGGACCTGGCACCCAGACCACTTCATAAAGCTGAAGTGGTCTGGGTGCCTAGAGTGGTCCTTTAAGGACAGGATCCCTTAGATTGTTTGTTTATTCTAGGACTGATACCACAGAAAGTGAATACATTTTAGTTTGCTACATTGTAGCTAAAGCATTTGATATTAATATTAAAGGAAAACTCCAGACCCATAAAACACTTTAGCTTGCTGAAATGCTTTATATGTGAAGAATATGTCCAATTTTTATTTTACAAAAAGTTCAGATTTTAGAAATTTAAAAATAGAAATTTACACTTTTAAAATTAACCTTGCTACAACCCCCACTGTCAATCAGATAACCAGTATTGTTACTTCCTGGTTGTTAGACACAGTGGAGCTACGCTCAAGATGCTGCAATTTCTCAAAGCACCTGCCTTGCAAAGACTTTTCACTGAGCTGCATTGGGAAGTCTGTGATTGGACAGCCACAGAAAGTGTGGATGGGACTAGAGGGGGAGGGCTTGCAAAGGCTGCAGACAACAAATATTCAGCTTCTACAAGCTGTTTTTTTAAATATACCCACAATAAAATAAATGCATAATTAAATGCATGCATGTTTTCATTGGGTTATATCTACTAAACAGTGATTTTTATTTCTTTTGAACTATGGCAAGGTAGTGTCCCTTTAAGATGAGTTATCAGTCTGTAATTAACGGAGACTAATTTTTCAATATAAAGTAATCTTAACTTTCAAAGTTTAAGATAAGGACACAACTTTCACATACTGAATTATGGGAGGGCTAGGAGTATTATTAGGACAGTGTTAAAATGAAAATGAGCAGATTTTCCATTTTGTTTTGTTCTATAAATTAAGTTCATAACAACTCGTCAAGTCTGTCAATTGTTGGAAATTCTACTGGATTTGCAACCTTCATACTTTCATATGTTGGTTAATGCATTAAAAGCTATCCTTTGTTGCTCAACTTTAGAACACTTAATCTCATCGTAGGTCCAGCAAAATTACGAAAAATTGAGTTCTAGATCTAATTGTGGCCAAGAGATAACCTGTTGAAGTTAAGTGAAGTTTGACAAAAAGTTAAATTGAAAAGCACTCATTTGACCTGCTCCAAGTAGTCTCAAATTTAACGAAGCTCATAAGTTATTCAACAATTATAGTAGGCAAACTATATTAGTGGGGATTTTTCATCCTGTAGTAATTATTTTACTATACGAGAACATTGTTAACCAGCTTCCACTTTATCAAGTTATGTCCTATCCATTTTCCCAACATCACGGCCATTTAAGCAAATTTACAATTTTGAAAAATGATCAGACTTGCTTTAAGATTAAAAGGGCCACAGAGATGTGACGGAGCAGAAATTAAGATGGATGAAAGAACATTTGTCACATTAATGGAATCCTTGAATATTGATTCCTGTTGTTAATTTGATTTAATGTTTTCTGTTAAGCATTTAGGAAAACAAATTAATATAATAGAGAATGAATCATATATTACCTAAGTAACACTGTGTGTTCTTTGTACTACCAAAGAAATTAAAAGTCATAGCCAACATAAAGGGGTTAGAATTTTTAATTTAAATGAGTTTTTATAAAATACAACATACTGAAAGAAATATGTAAAAATATTTTTTTGCTAAAACATGTAAGTTCAAAATAAATTGTTTCAAACACTAAGCAAGCTATTTGAATATTTTAATATGGTACCCGGAGGACCAATACCTAAATTTAATTATTTTGCAATCTGTTAGAAAAACTTTGTGCTTGGATGTGCTTAGTTACACTAGCCTTACAATGCCTAGTGACCAAGCAAATGGGAACCTTTACAGCATGGCACGCTAAAGACATTTGGGGAAACTTCTCTAATGAGTGAATTATAGGGATTTTAAAGTGACATTAAAGTGATTTTCAAATTTTAAGTAAAAAAAAAGCCATATTGAAAACATTGCAAACTTTAAGATTTTTTTTTTGTTTGTTTTTTAAATTTGGCCTAAACTAGGAAATTCAATTTGAAATTCTGTCAAAAAAGGTTTTTCAGAACTGCCTCCCTAGCAAAAAAAAATAAACAAACCACTTTCTTATCAGTATTCATCCACAGTCCAGGCACTGACAGCACTAAGTGAGCTGAACTGCTAGAAGCAAAGCGACCTGTATTACAAGAAGATAGCACCCAGTCAGACACATACAGGGTTATTCACAAAAGTGAAATTTAAAGTGAATTTCAAATTTAAGGCCAAAACAACCGAATCTGAAAAATTCTCTAAATCAGCTATGCTATCAGAATGGCTACTTTGGCCTGAAATTTGAAATTCTCTTTGCATTCACTTTGAACTCTAGTGAATAACACCATTAATAAGTATATTACTGCCTGTCTGTCTGTCGTTCACTGGGGGATTGCTATTCAAGAAACTGAGTTAAACTTCTCTCTCATAGTAAAATCCAGCCCTATTACTAAGTGAAACCTAGGCAGTAATTCTGCATACACTTAAAGATTATTTTCTATGTATGTATAATTGATACTATGTTACTTTTAACTAATAAGTAATCTTGAAGTATCACTGTGAAAATTTGTGAAATAAGTTTATATATGCATACTACTCAAAATAAATTTATTCAACGTATATATATATATAAAAGCATCAGGAATACTTACAAAGTGTGGAACTCAGTACATTTATATGCTTTTAGATTTTTAAGATCCATTTTAACAATAAAGGAATTCTACAAAATCCATCCATGCAGAAAAAACTTTTTCAGACATAACCATCTTAAAATATTTTTATAGGCCTGGAGAGATTAAAGTGTATTCTGCTCTGTTTGGGAAATACTATGGGAACAGAATCGTTATAGGGAGAAAAAATGATTTAACTAAACGCACAAATAAGGCTGTTTCCTTCAACCTTGCCTTTTGTTTATCTATAAATGTGATGTTTAGCTCACAGCGGAATCAAAACAGCACAGCGTGAAATATCATATAAAAATGAGACCATTAACCCCAACTCCGTGCACAAGGTGGAAACACAAAAAAAACAAATACTGATGATATCTCTCAGTGGGACATATTTACATGTTACCGTATTTTTAACCACTTCCCGACATTAGGGCATACTATGCCGCCCTACAAAAGGAGGGCTTTTACGTCGTTAGGCAGCATAATTGCCCTAACAATCAGGCCATCCCAGCAGCCAGGGTACCCTCCGTGGTGTTTATGATAAGGGGGACTGTCTGAAAACCCCAATTTCAAATGCTGCCCATCCGAGTCATGTGATTGATTGATAGATTGACTGCAGGGGGACTGCCTGGGTTGTCAAGCAGATCCCCCAACTTTTAATAATAAAATACACTCATTACATATAAATAATGCATTATACATTTAGAATCAAATATTAAAATTATATATAGTTTCATTCTAGGTGTATTTTGTTATTAACATGTACACTTTATAATACACAGACACATACTAATACCAACACACACATTACACATTGCAAAATGCAAATTTTTTTTTTGTTCAGCCACCCTCCTGTTTCCTACCTTTTAGGTGCAGGAGGCTGGCTACCTTGGGGTGGGGGACAGTCTGCTGGTTGAGGCTGTTGGAAGTCAGAGGCTCCCGAGCCCATGCTGCCCTTCTCTCTATTCTCTCCCTCCTTCATGACTCAGTGTTATTTGAGAGGACGTGCCAGGCTTTTACTTCCTCCCAGGCTGCCATTATCAAAGGGACAGGGTTGCGCTGTTAAAGGGCCACAGTACACAACCGGACCCCTGAAGACAAGTTGTCATAGCCCCACTCAGTGTGTAGGTGCAAGTGTAGGCACACTGGCTTCACCGGAGGTGGGTCTGCCAATGGTTTTATAGCAGTAAAAGGCATCCGCGTGCCTTTCCTGAAACAGTTTGTTCATACTACCCAGAAATGGGAGATATGGAATCAGGATAGGGTGGGAATCTCTTATCTGCAATATAACGTACATTTTACTTGAAGTCTGTAAAATGTAGCCATTTCTATTCTAGTCACTTAATTGTATTTTACCAGGTTGGTTCAATGGCATGCCATGGACCAGGGAAGGAATCCATCAAGCAGTACCATTTAAAGGATTGGAGGTAAGTCTGACAACATACCTGATTTATGGACACTTTTGAAGATTGTAGAAGAAATAAAGAAGCAACTCTATCCTTTTGTTTCCTTCATAACCTCCTTCAGTGTTACTGTATAGGCAATGGAGCTCGAGAAGGATCTCACAGCTTTTCCACCTTCTAAAACCAGTAAACATGATGACAAATGGTTAAATATTTCCAGACTCAGTCTAAGATGTTCGCTCCACAACAACTGTGTTTATCCTACAGCTAACTGTGCTGCTTTCTCAACATTCTGTAAGTCTTCCCCTTGCAATCAATTTTATAGAGTAAAATTACACATGTATGATAACTATAAAATAAATAATAATTCATTAAAAATTAAAAAAAATGTAAAACGAATAAAAAAATTATATATATATATATATATAAACAATTGAAGAAGAGATGCACTCACAGGTCTTGTAAAAAATCACTATTATTTATTATCAAAACAACATAAATTCGATCGACGTTTCAACCTCTTCCTGAAGAGGTCGAAACGTTGATCGAATTTATGTTGTTTTGATAATAAATAATAGTGATTTTTTACAAGACCTGTGAGTGCATCTCTTCTTCAATTGTTGTACATATCCAGCGTGGGATTGCACCGAGGCATTTTTCTATACATCTATTGAAAGGGTGAGTGCCACTACACTTGTGTGTGTGTGTGTATGTGTGTGTATATATATATATATATATATATATATATATATATATATATATATATATATATATATAGTGGCACTCACCCTTTCAATGAATCAGTAAAAAACTGCCTTGGTGCAATCCCACGCTGGATATGTAAAGCAAAAAGGAAAGAGATGCACTCTCAGGTCTTTATAGAAAAAAACTCGATATTATTTAATAACAGGTAACATACATCTGATCGACGTTTCGACCTCTTCAGGTCTTCCTCAAGATCTTGAGGAAGACCTGAAGAGGTTGAAACGTCGATCAGATGTATGTTACCTGTTATTAAATAATATCGAGTTTTTTTTCTATAAAGACCTGAGAGTGCATCTCTTTCCTTTTTGCTTTATATATATATATATATATATGTGTGTGTAATTTTATTCTAACTGTATTTTGTACAAGGGGTTTCGAAGTGCCGCCATACCGGCAAAACGCGCATCGGGGTTCAGCTGCACTCTGTGCCCGTAGCGACTATTTACCCCTCTCCTACTTTGACTTTGTCACCAACTTTTCTCAGATTTGCTGCTAATATGTTATTATGTGGTGCTCTAAGGTAGGCTAGATTCTAGAGGGGGTGCTAGGGTAGAGTTCAGCTAGTGCATTTAGCTGTAGTTTCACTTTGGAGATCGACAGCTTAGCTTTATATCATGTGCCCTTGAAGGCACAGTTGTAGAGTTATATATAGACGGTTAGGAATTGGCATTAATCCAGGAAAGACGTTTATAGTGAAGTGGACATAACAAATTAACTGTTAGAACAGATCGGGGCTTCATTGCAAGATACTGACTGATCAGCATAAGCTATTTTTTCTAAGTGAACTCTTTCAAATCCAAGCTTAGACACCCGAGTTTATACTACAGATCATTGGTTATAACTAGATGCACTACTACTCTTGGTTGATTTCTTTTTTAGAGGTTTGAGATAGAAATCTACGATAAGTTTGGTTTCACCAAACTAGACATTTAGGAGATTTCCCCTCTCTCTCTCAATGTTCTATTTTTGTAATTCAAGTGATACTTACCTCTTCTACTGTTGTTACTATTATACACATACTTTCTGATAGTAACCCTTTTTTTCATCTACTGACTTTATTACAGTATCTATTTGCCTTACCAGCATTTGATAAGGTATTTATCACGTTGTACCCCTTGTTTGTATATACCTTCACCCCTTGTATGTATTCTTCCAATTCCCTGTATCCCTGTGTTTCTGTTTAACCTTTTTTAAGTATATCTATTAAATGTAACATTTTATGTGTCTAGCTTATTTAGGATCCTAACCAATCAGGACAGATTTTGTTCTCTCATTTTCTATATTCAATTTTTGTGAAAGGTTTAACCCCTTGAATCTGTCCTCAAGATAGCTACTATATACAGCTTTCTCTCTCCCCTTTTTTTGTTAATGCGGCCCTCAGTCACCTTTCCCATATAATTACAATCCAACCCTAAATCCCTTTAAACTCTATGCTTACCTTAGTGGTAAGGAATATTGCCTGCCGTTCATTTTACATTCAGTTGCAATTTCATTGCTATTTGACTCAGCTAATTTCAAGCAAATCTTACAGCAGTATGACAATTGCTGGGACTGATTCAGGAGTAAAAAGCATATTCGATTAAGTTGATCATGAGCAAAATGAACCTTAAAGGAATTTTATCTGCTAAACTGAAGATATTTGAGCAAAATAAAAGTGACAATCTGTAAAAAAAAAGAAGAAATCTGCAATTTAGTAAATTTAAAAAAACAGTAAATTTCTACTCATAAAAAAATGTTTATACAGTTTAAACCAATATGATTTTTTTTCCTACAAACTTATTATGTTTGTGGTAGTACTGGGGTGAATAAAACACTATCTTCAGCATTGTTATAGAGGCAGATTAGGCTGGATTTAAGATATTGCAGTTCGATCAAGTTTATACTGCCAAGTTTTGTGTCTGCAAATTATTCCAAAAAAATACTCAACCAATCCATTTTAATGACTAAATGCATCAACGGGTGTTAATTATAAAATCTAATTCTTTCATTTAATGGGAGTTAGATAGAATCATGAAAAGAGCAAAAATAAAATTCACCTTCTTTGACCTTTTGTACTACATTAATGAGCAATGTGCAGTTTGGGTGCCACCTCCCTGCTGTTGTTTCAGAACTTTGATAATGTGCAACAATAGTGTGCCTGAAAGAAATAGTTGCAATTTGTTGCTTAACTTAACTAGAGAGAATAAACAAAGAAGGGAAAAAGTTAATGTCAGTTAGAACAGCCCATAGTTTCGGCACTCCTGATTGATGGTATCCCACGTCATCCAGAGATCCTCAGTCCCATATAAAGCTGAAAAAGATATTCCTGGTCAGGCACTTGCAATGATGTAGACCTCTTTTTTTTCTGAAAAAAAAAAATCTCTACCGGTGAAGATTTTACTTATAACTACCCAGGTAACATGAAATCCACTAATGGGTTAAGATAATTCTTTCCATAAAAGCTGTTCCAACTGGACTGAGTGATTAACTCCCAAACAACTGCACATAGTTGGAGAGTTCACTCATTAAACAGGGAGTTGTGTTAAGTTGACAACCATTTTTAAATAGTTAGGTCATTATAAATGAGTTGTGAATGTTTTTTTACCAAATCAAAAAATAAAACAGATTAAAACATTAAAGGAATACTATAGCATTAGGAATACAAACATGTATTCCTAATAGACTTGGGTGCCACCAATAATTTTGTTTTATTCAAATATATTCGTACACTTTTTTTTTTTTTTTTTTTTACCAAATTTCATCTGTTAACTCATTTGTTTTTAGACTAAATTTGGCCATTATTTTTGTTTCGGAATTTAGTTTGGGCGAATGAAATTCTGATCCATGCCGTGGGCCGTGGCAGAATCTTGCAGTCATTTAGTAGATAATCAAACAAGGAAACAGAAGAGACAGGTTGCGCCAAAAAGGAAAAAAAAAATGAAGGATCTAAAAAGACCTCTTAAAAAAACAATAAAAAAAATTGTCTAATAACAATCCCAAAACAAAAAATACCAGATAGAAAACTGTCTTAGAAATAATGGTCCTTCATTCAAATATTTATAAAGTTCTTGTGGGACAACTTCAGTCAGTAGTAGCACATGAAAAAGAGCATAAACAGGAAAAAGACCAATAGTGCAATATAGTTGTATAATGTTGAACAAATAACACAAAGGTCAAAGGTAAAACAGCATGCAGTGGTATTATATACCCACTTGCAGGATATTCTTCAGGCGGTAGTTCACAGCAGAGTAGTGGTACCGTAGAATATATGAAATTACAAAAAAAGTAGCCAATAGTGCTCTGTTGAGGTAAGTATACACAAGTAATAGAGATGTTACTCTATTACTACCTACTCTATGTTTCAAGTGTGGGTAGCATATTTACACGGTAGTCCACAGAAGCATATGGAGGTTAGTCCTGACGCCAGGCAAAATATAAAAAAAATAAGCCATAGTGGGGATTATGTGTGGGTAATATTGGCCCCCGTCCCATCACTAACCCAACAGAATCCTATTCTCAACCTCAAGATCTCTGTGGATCATGCTTGTAAGGGAGAGCTGTTACTGCACCTGAGTTCCAGGACTGAACACGACTCCAATGGGTTGTTTCGATCATATTTTTTGACAATTTGTTTTGTTACCATTCACTGTTTATTGATAAATCTTGTATTAAATAACTGGTGTCCTTCGATTTGATATCTGAGCAGAGCGGGATACATTTGTCATTTTGGCAAATATCTCAGGAATAAAACCTTGAGCTTGTTGAAACTCATTTTATTAATGTTTGGGCCAATACAGATGATTTTAAACTGGAAAACGTGTGAATTAATTCAGAAAACTCTGTAACCTCTGAATTGCCTCAATTTGTCTTGTTTTGTTTCCAACTTTGCTTTGGCAAATTCAGGAATATCACCCTGTTTGACTACAGGCTTGCCATCTGTTGATAGTGGTGGCATACTGGCATTCTGTCATATCGTAAGAGTTTAAGCTAATTTTTGGCAGGGCCTTATTCACCTACTCTTCCGATATTCAATATATGTTTTGTTACAATTAAATGTTTGTCTTGTGTCGTATTGTACAGCACTGTGAAATATGTGAAATATTTATTTCTGTCATGAAGGGACTTGGATAAGGAGGGAGGTTAATTGTGCAGCATTCTGCAAAACATTTATTTTTGCTATGCAAAAACTATAAAGATTTGAGCGTGCAAAAAAATACAGCATCTTAATGAAGCCACAATCTATCAAATGCAATAAAATTGTATTAGTGCCTGATGTGTCCTTTTAAGTCAATACAGTCCTGGAAGTAAATGAATTGCATATGCAAGTGTGAGCCAAGGATCAACAAATGTGTATATTCTTTGAGTGCCCCTGTAGGTGATCCAATCTTGTTTGGCTACTAATCTACTTTCACTTTGATAGCATATGTATGTCGTGCTGGCTAAATCAACAGCAAGTATATAAATTCAGTTTTATTCTTAACTAAAGATTGCTTCCCCCCCCCCCCAATAACAATGTTATCCAAATTACCACATGGCTGTAAGTTGATAGAGGGAAAAAAACTTGGCAAATTTAACTAGCAAAATGAGGTCGATTTACTAGTGTTCGTAAAACCAGAGTAGTAAAGTAGGCACACTCGTAAGAAATAAACTCCAGGAAATTTACAAATTCAGTTTGCCGTTAGATATACCACCATTTTATGAGTAAATAAAATTCTGGCTAAAGTCTGGAAAACTCATATAAGGTAGAAATGCACCCACTAGCTTAACTGGCATGTGAGGTGTTGACATATACACATGCACAAAATGTTTTTTTACATAATTGTATTAAAGCTGGAATGACTTTCTGGTCTAATTGACTCCGGACATGACATCACTTCTAGTGCATTTATTAATTTCAGGATTGTTTTATTTTCCTGCAAAATTTACGACATTGACCTGGCATCCATCCCTTCCTGCAAGTGAGGTCTGGAAGGAGAAGCAGAAGATTTCACAAATGGTGCTACAAAAGGTCAACCTTTTGAGTAGTCATTTTTTGTGTTATTTTTCGCTCACAT